TACAGCGGGTTTAAATGTTTCGATCCACTGACTCTGCCGCAAAATACCCCTCAAATTCGAGCCATGGCATGAGCCCACAAAAGCCTACGCGATTTTGAACAGATGGCACATGAAGTTTTCTACATCCACAATAGTCACTGTTTCGTGCAAAACAGAAGGGCGGCGTCAGTGGTCATAACATTCCTGTAAGTGATGTTGCTAAGCCATCACATTCAGCATGTGTTAGCACTACAAAAAGAAGATGAACCTTATGGACGCTACGTACCTCACGACAACACCCAATGATGGGCATTCTGCATTTCAGTTTGAGGGTGGGGTTACCTCGACTCTTTTCGAGTCTGGGTTTCTTGAAGAGTTTCTTTAGGCATCGAGCCTGAATTGATACTTATTGGCTAGGCTTAGATCATAGAGTTCTATCACCTAACTCTAGCCGTAAGTATCAATCGATCGATGCCCTCAAAACAGCGTAACCAGACGTATTAGTCTGATTCTTCTGATTCTACACGCAGCAGTCACTCATAATCGGTTCTCTAAGACCCCGCTGCAGCAAAAAGCCGCTGTGGATATTTGATCAGTATTTCATAGTATATTCTATAAGCAGAGTCAGACATGGACATTTAAAATGAAACTGAATCGCTCAGCAACTCAAGCACGGCGTGTTCATTTCATTTCAACATCAAACTGCTCTTGTTGGGAAATGCAGCCGGTTCCGACGAGATAAAGGCACAGTTCATGATCAGAAGTGTTGTATTCCCCAGTTGGACGGATTTGCGACTTTCGAAGATAGCCGGGGCGATGGGCGATAACGGATGAGAGATTGTCCAGAGGTTGCGTCAATCATAAAAGAGCATGCATGTCGAATATTCAGATATTATAGCTCATTGTACGGACTTATGCAATGTATTCACTATCTTGGCGAGTTCCTCGCGCGCGCACCGACATCTCCATCAGCCCTGTCACGAGCTAGAGAGGTTCAGTGAATTGCTCTCCCTTTAGGGACCCAAGCCATAGTATTTTTCGGCCCCAGACCAATCGTGAAGGAGCCCTGGCCGCCGTCCTGCCTTTTGCTTGACAACTCGAGGGATTCAGACACTAGTTTCTAATCCAAGAGGAATCAACATAAAGTGAGCAACGGCACTCCCTATTTCCTTTATGGCTAGCAACCCCAGATTCCCCTCTGCACTCACTTTATCAAGGAATTCGAGCATCGCTCTTTCTACAGGGCCCGAATAAATGTCAATGTAATAAGGACTGCCGTGTCGAAAAGATCGATTCGGAGCTGGATGTTATTTGCCAATTTCGCTGCACCTTCGATGCCCCTAATTACTGCTCATACCGCGCGTTTCATTTTATCCAATCTGAATTGAGTTCTTGGTTCTTGGCATTCCGGCCTAGGTTCGCGTACCTAGAACATTTGCGAATATCTCTTCATGCATCAGGTAGCGATCTAATCCCAGCTATCTTAGGTTCCGTTATGAGTCGATCTTTCCACGAGTTTTGTCGGATTCAGTCAGCATCCTTCCTGCCTGCTCAATGTCTGTGTTCATCACGGCGCCGCCCATATTTGGGCAAGATGGCCCATCTTCATGCTGCCAATGACTTCTCTGTGGAACGTCCAAACTCTTGTCATGAAGGTGTTGTAGAGCTTATGAGCGTTCTTAAATTTATATCAAATAGGGGCACATAATAACGCAGGACTTCGATAATCGCTTCAGAATCGAAGGTACCATAAGCTTCCTTCAAATCGATGAGTATGAGGCATGATGGCAACCTGTTTTCCGTGATATTTCAATGAATCTTTCAACAGTGCGGATGTTATCGATGCTACTGGATCCTACTCGAGACCCTGCTTGACCGCATACTGCCTCTCATTTAGTACCAGACAATCCTGTTGAGGACAACTCAAGCCGAAAGTTTATAGTTTATAGACAGGCAAAGCGAGCGATAGTTGCATTCCCTACACTCCTAGTTTTTATATCGTACAAATTAAAATCAGACTCGAGTTCTTCCCGACCCACAGTTGCGGTGAAAAACAACTTCCGGCATTTTTGTTTATCATTACTAGCTTTCTACGCGACTGTACGACTAAAATCTCGTCTAAAACATTTTCTGAACCACATCCGTCACTTCTATCTCATATAACGCACTACTACTACTACTTTTTTAAAGCTTTGTATTTTGCGAATTTCATTTTTCTTGCTTCTTCTGACAGCTATGTATTGAACTGCATCAACAGCTCCGATACTCAAATTAAAACTGACAACTCAAAAGCACGGTTCACGATATAAAAGCTTCTAAGATCTACAATTAGCATGTGGCTATCCGACAGCGTCCCTGTGGCTCCCAGGGACACTGTCGGATAGCCACATGCTGTCGGATAGAAATACGGCATACAGTAGCGCTCGAAAGTTTTCGGTGGAATGGTTCTTCAGTCGTACTTTTCAGTCGTAATTCCTTTCTTTCTGGATCTAATCATGCGAAATTTCTATATCTGGAGCGTGGGTGTATTGTGAGTATTTGCCACTATTATCTTGCAGTCTGAACATGTTCCGAATACTCCAAAGAGCATGAACTCATAATCGACTGAAAATACAGATGATGATCCTTCTAGAATCTCTTTCCTTTTTGTCATGTCTAAAGTGTACGAGCAGTGATGCCGAATACGGTATAGGAGAAAAACGTACATAAGGTGTGAATAGGTGCAGACGTCAACAGCTTTACTTTTAGCAAAACCTGCTACCGCAACAAACACCTTGCNAACAAACACCTTGCTCTATCTAAGGATAATGCAGCTTCGCAGTCAAATAGTGTTGGGTAGGGTGAAATATGCTCTCGTCAAACATATCCGAATTTCGCGCGATTTGCTCCACAAAGAAAAAAGTTATGAACGAAAAAGCGTCAAAGCATTTCACCGAAGACTTTTGAGCGCTACTATAGGTAAAGCATAAGCGTACTTAGCGTACATCAGAAGAAGACTAGTTAAAGAATAATCTGATTCGTTTTCCCACAAAGGTCCGCGGTCGACGCCCAGGGAAAGGTCGGAATCGGGAGCTACAATGAATATGGTAATCCTGTTGCCTGTGAATTGACGAACGAGGTCGAGGACAGCTTCCATTGAACAGGAACCGTATTACAGGGTTTTGACCCCTATTACAACACTTATATAGTGCTTTACAATCCTGGGAATGTGAAGCCTGGAAGCTCCTTCACTGGTAGTGCTCCACACATCAAGTTCTAACGACTTGTAGAGGTTATAGCTGGTCCTGGTCACGACCACGACCAGTCAGGCACTTGCTTTGGCCCTGGTGCAATATGGAGCCAATCTGGCCAGCGGGCAAAAAGCATTTGTTCAGGTTGGTACGGAGAAAAAAGAGTATCGCATTCAAATGCTGCGGCAAATATAAATATAGGAAGAAGTGATTGAAAATATATGACTGGAAATTGTATATGAAGGTAAAAGTTTTGCTGCCGACAGTTCCATTTCTCTTCAGAACGTCTTTACTCCTAAATTGAGACCACCTCCCCAGCGTTCCGAAGACGTCAGGAAATCGTACATGTGAAGGAAAGAAAGGGGTTGCAGATATTTCTTCGGAACAGAAGTGTATCGTTTGTAAAGTCACCCACCGAATCCGGTTTTTCGTGACTCTACCATGATCCAAACATACTGATCAGTGTCCATTCCGGACTCGGCGATTGCAACCATGAAGTTCCGACGAGCAACATCATCTTCAAAGCAGCTTACGGTGACTGTAAAGAAACGACTATTTCAGCAATTGGTTTCCCGAGATAAGGAAGGACCGGCTTTGCCCACCTCGAGAGACGTCTTTGATGGCTTGCAGTGCGTTTTTGAATGTTTCATTGTTGAACGCTAATAGCAGTCGACGGTAAGCTATGGTCATGTTTGAATTTGCATTCAGTAAAATCTAGAACAACACTAGACGACGTCATGAAAGACCCCAAACATGGGCCGGAATGAAGCTAAGTTGATCGATGTCTTCCTAGTTTCGAATACATGATATTTCCCGCGCTATACAAATTTAAAGCTTCCGCTTTCCCCGAAATTCCGTGGGGTTTTTGAAGTCTCTGAAGAGCGATTTTCACAGTATGGATGAGACCGCCTTCGAACGGTTCCACTTCACGAGCTGTGTTCGGTCGAACTGCAAATTAGATCGCCACAAACATCAATGTTGCATGGGGAGAAGACATTACAGCGAATGGCTCATCACTGGTCTCAAAGATTTATAAAAGGATACGAGTCACTAGGATACAAAGAGCGAGTTGGTCGGCTACGCTAGGTGATAACAATGTTTTGCTAAGAGCAGTCAAAGAAGACCGACGTCAACCTTTGAAGAAGGTTACCATATGGGTGTTCCCTATACAGTCGTCACTGACCACCTCGAGCAGCTCGGATTGTTAAGAAACTTGACAAGAGGGTGCCACACAAACTCACGGAGCAGCTGCAATTGAAGCGGCTTCAACTTTCACGTTCGCCGTGAAGATGAAATAAAGCGCTCACTCAGCATTGCAGCTTCATGTGATGAGGAGATCTTGTTCGAGAACACAAAGCCGTTCAGTAGGTAGATGAGCCTCCACAAACGTTTCTCAAGCCAAGTTTACACGTCAAGTGGGCAATGACTAGAATTTGGTGGTCTAGCCATGAATGGATTCACTACTCACTCCTTCGCTGAAGTCAAGCCATCCCAGCACAGCTCTGCTGTGATCAAATTTACGAAGTGTGCACGAAACTGGAGCGAACGCAGCCAACACTAGTGAATCGCCATGGTTTACTGCTTTGCACGGCAGTGAGCGACAGCATGTGCCACAAATCGTCTTCTTAAAGTTGAATGAGCTGCGCGTCTGTCACCAACTTAATTCCGTTTACTCAAACATCTGAGCAGCTACTTAAAGGCACCGTTCACGATAAAAAAGTTATGGAGTTCCTACCTTATTAATACTCAGCGGCCCCATGGGTCGTAGAAGGGGCCCTCTCACTCCCCCAATCTCGACGTCCAGGGCATAGTGGCAGCCCCTTTGTTGCCGTAGTTCGCGTTCCCGCCCCTCGATCGGTGTCACGTTAGACGAGTGTCGAGACAATACAGATTGCTATTATTCTTCTAAGACCCACGCACAATCAGCTAATCGCCGAGTGATGAGACGACGTTTTTCTCCCATTCTTTTTTCCTCTGTTTTTTTTTGCTGCCGCGATCCCTTATTTAATTTCCTACTCCTAGAGGCTGGAAAAGGTGAGCTACTTTTGCTGTCACTAGGGTTTTTAAGCTTATTTATGCTTATAAGTGAATAAATTTCGCTTACTATTGTCTGTTATTCGCATCAAGACCCACAAGCGCGCAGTGAAACACACTGTTTAGCTCGTCCGGACGCCCCTTTCTTCTTCGTTTTTCTGGTTTCATTCTCGTCAAGCCCAACTTTTAACGTTTTGTCGAAGCCTTTTTTCACTCTGGAAACACCGATGCACGCAGTTTCTTCACTTCAGTCGCACTAGTTTCGATATTGTCTTCCATTTTTCATCATAATCTGGATTACCCAAAATTATCGTGAACGGTGCCTTTAAAGGGTTGAGTATTCAAAAATTAAGGTGACGTAGAAGATGGCTTTCTAAAACTTTTAATACCCAGACCTCCGGACTTCTGAAAGAATGGATTAAGTAAACTCGTATCGTGTTGGCAAAAGTATGTAGAATCGAACGGTGTTTTTTCACATAAAAATGTTCACTTTGAGATGAGTTATGAATTTTTGAAAACTAGCTGTCAAAACGGCGATAACCATCCTTAAAACCTAAAACTTTTCTGAAATGGTTGTGAGGTTACGGGGTGGCGGAACTTCCCAAATTCTTACACAGGCGGCAGTGGTTCCGCGGCGACTGCCGTATCCTTCCAAAGGAAATCTAAATCTTTGACTTCATAGCGTGCGATCTAGTGCGACGAGCGTGTCACGCCGTTCGGGGATAAGATACCATACCTATGAGTTTAGATAGGCCACGGTCATGCCACCATCTGACAATATCCAGCCGATTTTCAGTATGAGGTTTTATGGACTCCTTACACAGATTCTCATAGATCTCATAATTTCCGTAAGGGAGATTGATAGTACAGCTATTAACTAGCAAAAGAATTTCAACGCAGCCAAAACAAAAGTTTCTAGAAACAAAAGGAAGAGTAAAATAGTTTCCCTCTGCTCCGTTGTTCATCAATTCCCCGCCACAACGAGAGCTCCATAGATTATTCACTTTCCACAGATTCTAGGTATAAAAGAAGGGGGGTGGGGAAGGGGTGTTGGGGGAGCGATTGTGGTTGCACGGTAAGTACGCAACGATAAGTAAAACCTATAACCAGTAGCATCAATCTATTAGGCGCATCGCCTATCGAATACTGTAAAACATGCAATTGATTTTTCGAAGAATTTGTGAACATTATTGTTGAATCGGTAATGACCTCCAAGTCGTTGAAAATATTGGAACATCTCGGCACCAAACTGCTCCGAGCAAGATAGTAAATCATGGCTATGTCGGACCATCCATATCGTTGAAGGAATCCAACGATAGTTTGTGCTTGGCTGAAATTAAGCAAGTATAATGTATTTAGGTGCTAAAATCAAGTGATGTTTCCAAACTGTCAGGTTTCTATTCAAATTCATGGTGAAGTACTTCGTGTCGAACTCATTTGCAACAGAGTAGTGGTTTAATCATTCAAAAATGCACCGTGTATAAGACCACGTAAAGATCCCGCCCCAAACAGTGATCAAGACATATGCGTATCATTTTGGCGGAGCCTTGTGGAAAGGTATTAGGTTGATCAAAAAGTTTTGTTAGTGTTGAGATTTCCTCTGTTTCATTTAACAACTTAGCAACCAATGCAAGCTAATCAACGATATGATAAACATCATTAATTATAAAATTGTTCCACCTAACGGGCAGGTCAGCGATTCTCTTCTCCAAGTTCTGGGGAGAGTGGGAGTCGAAGAAGTCACCGACCACTTGTTTAAAGTGATCCTAGTTGACGAATAGTTTTTTTTGCTTGGAAAGCCTTGAGGGGCTCCAATATGCGATAATCTGAGGGGCAATATCAGGTGAATGGGGTGGATATAGAACCATGTTCCAGCCCAGCTCCTCCAATTTCGCACGGGTCTCTTATTTATGAGAGGCCGAGAGGCCAAGAGTTGTCATGGAAGCGGTGCGCAATAGTTAACAGTTGGTCTAGGCAATTTTTCTCGAACAACTTCCGCAAGTTTCTACAGCTAATCAGTGTAATAGGTAGCGGTGACGGCGTGGTCATGCACTTCGTAGTACAGCATTTCATTCGAAACTCGGGAG